GCCGTTGTCGGGTGTTTCTTCATGAAGGCTGAATTTTCCGACGGTGGGGCCAAAGATATTTTCCCTTCCGATTTTTGCATTAAAATCTCCTAGCAGAATTTTAATGTCATGGCCAGGGCAACGGTCATATGCTGTTTCTAGGCGCTCGTAAAATATGTCTTTGGTCTGTTCATCTTTATCTTCGGTCGGAGCATGGGCGCAAATTAGACTGATGTAAAAGAACTTCGCTTTTATACGGATTATAGCAATTCGCTCATCTACTGGAGTGAATCTGGAGATGAAGTCTATTATTCTCCGGTTAACCATAAATCCGCAACCTAATTCATGTCTCGTTTCATGGCAGCTATAATACAGGTCGTAATCATCTGATTTACTTACGCCTGTCCCTTTCCATCGCATTTCCTGTACTTCTTGAGTATATCCGCCAATGCGAACACTGCCCCTGTTCTGTATAGCGTGCGCACATTCCAAGTGCAGATTCGCAGATCGTGGTCCTTTATACGTTTGCGGGGGTCGTCAACAGTAGGGGGGTTTGGTTTTCTTTTTCTTTGCTTTTTCATAGTAGGTTGGGTTTTCCGAGAGTGGGGAACAAACCCGACGCACGCTGGGTTGAGCGGTAGGCAAAGTGGCGATTAATTCTAAAAATGAACTTTAACTTTAATAACCGTTTTTGGTACCGAATGAAAGAAGATAAAATTCTACATCACTAATTGCCAAAATAAATGTTCTTAGTTGTTTACTTTATTTGTAGTGTGTCTTCAAAGTTCAGTAATTATTATTAATTTTGCGCGCATTGGTTAAAAGTGAAAATTTGCATATTTCCAGTAAAAAAATTTTTAATAAAGACTTCTAAAAGTGAAAATTTTATTATGGAGCCGTCTACTTCAGGTGTTTGAGCATATGAAAAATATTTGTTTGTTTAGATAAATGTTTTGGAAATATAAAAAAATAATAAGGAAATTGCTCCAAAATTGAGGTATCTTTGATGTTTGTATTGGATTTCAACTGAATTATCAGTGAAACTTAGTAAAACTGCTTATATTTTCTTAAAATATGAAGTTTCAGCTTAAAAATTCCAGAACAACTTTTTGCCGATTTGGTGCATTTTTTGACTTATTAAAGAATTTGTAAAATAACCCAGCTAAATGAAGAATCTCAGGAAGCCAGAAATAAGGAAATAAGGAAAACACTTTGGGAACGCTATTGAGAACACTTTTCCAGTAAATTCAGTCGGGGAAAATACAATAGAAAACGTATTTAAAAGATTTCTTTAAACTTCAGATCTATTTATTTGGAGCAAGAGGAAGAGTTGTAAAAAGAATATACAGCAAATGTCTCAGACTGCTTTGGACTTACTTATCCTTACACAAAAGGAAAACGATAATGGTGAGAAAGATGATGCAGATGAAGATTATTTTAACGAATTGTATGACGACTAACAAATAAATGATTATAATTAAGTAAATTAATTTTATAATTGTTGTGAAGTAAAAGATGATTATGAAATTAATAATACTGTTAAAATTAATGAAATGAAGTAAATAAAAAACCATACAATTATATTTTTTAGTTATTTTTTCCTGTAATGGTTGTTTGTTTTATTTTTATACTATGGTTTATGTATATGAATATTGATCAAAATGATATAATAATATTTTCTAATGTAACTTTTTTTAAATATGTGTAATTATGGAATTTGAAGAAAAAATTTGATTTTAATTTAAAATTTTGTGTGTATAAATACAGATTAAATATTTATTAATTTTTATTTTTTTAAGAACAATTTTTTTTCCTAAAAGCACATTAAGTATGCTCTAATTTTTAATTGCATTTTCTGATTTATCATTTTTCTTTGATTAGTTATAGCGAAAATTGTGATATAAGACCACATTTTCCAAAATACAAAAAAGGCCATAAAATATTGAAACAAATTTTTTTTATTTTTTTGTTTTTCTAATTATGCTTTTTTATGTATTTATGAATATCCATCAATAAAAAATAACAATATTTTAAAATTACGGCTTTCCTGAATTAATCGGCATTTTGCCTACTGCTCAACCCACTGTGCGACGCCTCAACCCATTTTTTATAGTTCTTATGGGTGAACTCGCGGCACATGTTAGCTCACTATTTCATCGGGTGATGAGAATAGCTCCCCAGGTGGCACCGCGGGGAGGTCAGTGTACACAATTGAAATGAAAGAGGGACCAAGATAAGCCTGGACTTCGCCATGTTAAAGCCAATCAGAGCCGTTGCTTGGTATCTATCATCCCCTACGCCACCCAGACTCAAAAATATGTTTTTTATAAAAATTTACGCACCAAATTTTCGTCTTTGGAACCCAATTGCAAAGAAGCTACGGTGAGCACATTCATGAGATATACACTAAACGAAGCAAAATCACGAGTTCTACAATCCTATAATTAGTTTAGTCCATTATCTAGATGCGCATCCTAATTATAAGAAAAATTCAAAAAACACCGAAAATCCGGCTTCAAAATGTCAGCATTCTTTTTGGGTGGAGGCAGTGATTACATCAAAAAATCATACATTAGAATCATATTGCCCATGGGGTATTCTGCAACATAGTCACTGATCACATGTGCGTGCGTTGTGTAGTTTAGCCACAAATCAGGAAGGAACACAAAAAACTCGTTAGCTTCAACACATTTTCACCCATTTTTTACATTACCACCATCACAGCTTCCACGCACCTTATTATTTATTACCAATATTTTAAGATTTTGACAAGAACACTTCATTTTAAAAAAATGCATTTAAATTATATGCGATATGTTCATATTTCGCGAGTTATAAGCTTGCAAACCTCAGCTTCAAGGAATTTAAGGGAACCCCACCCATTCTCGATTTTAAATTTTCAAGATTTTCAATGGGCTGGTAAATCAATACCAATGCATGCTAATGTTTGTAACTTTGCACATATATAATTGAAGATTTAAAAAGGAAGAAAAATAATATACAAAAAAATTTTGTTGTTGTTTTTTGTGATCAAAGAAAAGTCCTTATTTTTGATGGCGGGCATGATAACTGCTCACTGGAACATCGGAATCCGAAAATTCCAACGGTGTTAGAAAGAGTACATGTCTGGCTCTCGTATGAACTAGGATTATTGACTTCGCTCTAAAATTAACTAAATGGCGGACCTTTGAAAAATATTTTTGGAAAATCGCCGATTTTTGATCAAAAACCAAGTTAAAAAATAAGGAAGATCTTCACCGATTGGCTTTATCCTAGTTCATACGATAGCTATACACTCACAGAGAAACGTGTAAAAATTTGAAATCGATTGGGTTATTAGTTTTTGAGTTATCGTGCCCGCCATTCGCAAAAAATGTTTAGAGAAAAACGCGTTTAAAGTTTGAGAAGCCCTTTAGCCGTCACTTGATGCTGACACAATAAATCGGCTATATCTCAAAGAGTTCTTGAAATTTTCACTTGAAATTTTGTAGGGACATTCTTGAATCAGTGTAGATTCGAATTAAATAAAAAAAATTGACCCCGAGAATGGGGGGCCCCCTTAAAAGATTTTTGAAATTTTCCATATATATATATATATATATATATATTCGAAAATTAAAAAATTCGGAACAAAATTTATTAAAACATAAAGGGACATAAAAACAAAATTAATATGATGAAAAATACAGTTAATTTCGTAGTCTTATTAGCCCATTTAAAATTTTGAGAAATCGACGACACTGGGCATGTTCAAAGGTGTCTCACCTGTGGCATTTAAAATTGCTGAAATTTATAACTTTTTTTGTAGGAAACATATATGGAAGAAAATACATTATTTATGTTTGAAATGATTTTTGGAATCCAAAAAAATTGTTTAACGAAAGAAAACGATCACCGAATTCTTCCTGCGCCCTTTCAACAAATAAATTAAAAGTTTACAATGGCACTGCGAAAACATGGTCACTTATGTATTTTGTCGACAATTGAAAAAAACTGGCCCAAGTTGTTTACGCAGATAGAGAACAAGATTACCATAAACAAAAAGTGGTTGCGGGTCGAAAAAAATTTAAACCGAGATTTTATGGGCGCAGCTAAATGGTGCCCAACGTTAAAAGGTGACCCCTCCCTCCCCACTATATATAATATTTGATTTTTAAAAATGTTGAAGTTTAGGTAGATCTTCGAGGTTTTGTACGTTTCGAGTGTTGATGCCGGAAATATGAAATATGTTAAGTTGGATTTAAATCGATTCAGATATAGATATACCCTAGTAATAATTTTCCGATTTCACATAATTGACGCAAAATTGATACAATCGCACTATCTTCTGAAGGAATTGAGAAATTTTGCATAGAGTCGTCTTTTGTTTGCAAGCAGGTCAAGTTCGAAGATGGGCTATATCGGTCCACCTTAAGGTATAGCCGCCATATATGGGTACCCCCCATTTGACGATATTTTGGAGGTATTTTTAAGTGCGTTTTTAAACTGAATTCGACGAAATTTGGTATGATGGGTTCTTATTGGGCACCAAAATTCTTCAATAAAAATTATAAATATAGGATAATTTTTTCGGGTAGCCCCCATATTAAACAGCCTCAGTTTTCGGTATTTTGGGGTTCTTTAGCTCCTTTTTCAAACCGAATTCGCTGTAGTTTGGTATTTTATAGTCGCATATGGTAACAAATCTTCCTACCAAGTATTATTAATATTCTCCCCCTTTATTCGTTACTCGAAATAGTTAGTTTTACCCTACAAATTAGGGAATTTTAAGACGATTCGGTAGTAATCATGTTCAAAGCTGCCCCTTGAATGTGTTCAAAGGTGGGCTGGTGTGGCATTAAAGAATATAAAATATAATCTTTTGAATGCAAATAATTGTTTAACGAAAGAAAATGCGTTACGGGTGGAAGCGATTTTTAATCGCTAAGCGTTACAATGTGATTCTTAGAACACTTCTTGGACATACCCAAAGCGTAGGTCATCGTATTTTCCTTAACATTGTGTACTTTTTCCCTTTGCAGATCTCGACCAAATTCTGTTTTCGTTTCGTGTAAAGTTTTACCCTGCAGATCCATTTCGGCTGACATATCATGGGCGCATTATGTTGTATCAGCAGTTGAAACGAGATCTACGACATGGACGTATATATTGCTCAATAGGAGAAGCTGCAGCACTGGGATCACTCATTGTCCAGGGTAATTAACTTTTTGCGTTTTAAGAATTAGTAAAAATAATTTTCTTTTAGAAGAACTTGGGGATTACAACGAAGAAATTCACAATGAAAACTACGTTGCGTCAATGAGCCTGGCCTTACGTCAAACGGAATCACTTGAAAGAAAAATTATGGAGCTTCATAAGAAACGTGTACCAGGACAAAACACCCGTGAAGTAATAAATGAATTTTTAAGTATTGTAAGCGGCTTAGAAACGTATGGAATAGATCCCCATCCTGTAAAGGATCATCGAGGTTCCCAATTGTACATTGGTATCAACTATTCCGGTATAAGCACATTTATTTGCGGCAAACGTTCGCAACATTTCCGTTGGAATGAAGTGCAAAAAATTAATTTCGAAGGCAAGATGTTCATTGCTCATTTAAGTTACACCGATGCAAGTAGAGAAGCGGTAAGTCTAGTATGTAGTTTTATCTATGTGAAATTTGGGAATTTTTTTGTTAGGAAAATTCGGTGGTCAGTTGTTGGTTTTGTTCAGAGACTAATCCGCTATATGCCCATGTGCTGCATTTCGAGTTTGCTCGAATGTGAAACATTTCCCCAAATTTGGTGTGTTCCATTCCGAATTCCCAAAAAAATATTGGGAATATAATTCGAGCACATATAGCCTTGTGGATTGAAAACGAAATGAGATCGTACGTGTTTTTCTGAGCACGTACAAATTGAAAAAGAACGCTGACGTAATATTTAACGTGTTTTTACAATATTCCTTTAAAAAATACAGTATTCACATTAGTTTTTATAGTAAAATTAAAGAAAATATAAAAGTTCTCCTTTTATTAAAAACAACGCGTAACATTTTTGAGATCAATTTGGCAACTCAACCACCATATGATCAAAATAAAAATAGAATCTATAAAAAATCTACTTCTAAGATTTCCAATAGTCCTTCTAATAATGTTTCTTACAGTTGTGCGCACTTTATTATATCGATGTTGACAAGATCCATGCTCCACTTGTTTATAGGACGTCAAAAAAATGTTCCTAAAGCGTAACCACTGTCTCATAGAAGCCAACTATTTTGCGTACCATTTCCTCTTTTGTTAATGCAGCCTAGCTGCACTAATATGCCAAATAAAAGCATCATGGCTGTATCTTGGTCTGCATCTGTCCACAGCTTGCAAACACTTTGTCTTTCAGGACTTTCATTACTCTCCACAATATTTTACACATTGTTGTGCGATCAACACTTATATTTAAATCATTTGCCACTACCCACTGAAACGCACCAACAGCCAGAAAGGTACCTGCTAACTGGAGGCTTTCGGGAATGGCACCCTTGTGTATGAAAGGACCCACTTCTCTCAAAATATCCATAAATGCTTATTTTAACTCGTTCCAGTATCATTAGACTTTTTCTGGTAGAAACCAGGGCAATTAATAAGCCAGCAGGCATATTTTTTCTTAATTTTGTTTGTAAACAAATTGCAAATTCCAATGAAACATATGTTTTTTATTGAACACATTTCGTAACATATTGAACACAGCTATGCTTTCGAGTCGCACTTTCGCTCGAAATTGAGCACACCATTTTGCACAACATGGGAATTTAAAAAAGTATGGGAATTCAAAAACTCTCGGAACATGTCACATGGGCGATTATTTCCTTTTGCAATATTACTGAGAAAAGTAAACATTCAGTAGGATTTTGCAAAATATCACGTAATTTTAATTAAAAAGCTTGAAATATTACTTTTCGACTTTTTAAGGAATAGAATTACCAAAATAAAAAATGTTATTTGACTTTGGTAAAAATTGAAAATTAACGTCTGATTTAGAAACATCTCTGAATAAGCCCTAGAAGGAATTCTCAGCGGACGTAGGAGTAAGCAAACAACCATCGACACAGACACAGCTATTTATTTAAAGTCATAGAAATCGTAAAGTCTCGACAAGGTGGATTTTGAAGAATAGTTTATCAAACTATATATTTGGGCCACTGGCATAAAACAGTCGGCCAGGCCGAACTTTGGATACCCTCCACTATGTACAACAAATACATGTATCAATGTCGTGTCTCAATTCTGTCCTTCAGGAGGTATAATTTTATGGGGGAGATACCTATATGCTGTCCTATATATTTCATTATCGTCAGGTTCGACTTTTTTATCAAGATTTCCTTAGAGAGCGGAATGATTACATCCGATGGCTAAATCTTCTTAGAATTCCATAATTTGTAGGGTAAAACAGACTATTTCGATTATCCCCTATACTATGGTAGAATAACCCTATATGAGGACAAGCCCTACACAAGGAACTATTCAGCTATTTTAATATAAGTAGGGGGTTATATGGGAACTATATGTGACTAAAGAATACCAAATTACAGAGAATTCGCTCAAGAACCTAATATACGGAGGGTGTCTTATATGGGGCTACCCGAAAAAGTGGACCTATATTTATAATTTTTTTAGTGGAGACATATGGTACCCAAAAATAACCCAATGTACCAAATTTCATCGAATTCGGTTGAAAAGCGAGCTCATGAACCCCAAAATCGTGGCAACCCTTTTTTGCTGGCGAGCTTTAAAAGTCAGCAGTTTGAAAGTCACATTGTTTTGGTACTACTGGCGGTAAAAATCAGCTAAGTTCAAGTGCTTGTAATTTGACAAAATTGAAAAAAATTAAAATGTGTAATTATGGAAAACGTTAGTGCAGGAATGTAAAATTAAGACGAGATGCCCTTTTTGTCATATTTGTCTGTTGTTGTAATACTGCGAAATGTTTTGTTTATGTATAACTTTATATAAAATCTATAAATTGTAGTTTTGTTCCATGGGGTGTAAGTTGTGAATGGCAAAGCATTGCAAAAAGGTGTAAATGGCAAGTTATTAACAAAAGTGCGTTAATTGATGAGTAAATAGCCTTTTTTGTTCTATTTTGTGCCAATACGTGTTTTTACTGATAAACATGTGTTGGCCCATGCAGCGCTTATTGAAATTTGGAGCAGCAACAATGGCTCAGAAGATGCACTTGTGAAATATGTGTTACAGAATATCAATAATATCAGTTTAAATGAAGACCAAATGCGTTTGATATCAAAACAAGTTAAAGATTTTGTTAATTATATAAAAAAACATTTGTCAAAGTTCAACCGTAAATTAGAGCGATTTAAAACTAAACATTCAAAATGGCTTTGCAAAAGTATAATTATAGTAATGGATGAGCAGTATGTTTCCCAAACAAAATAGGTCGGCTAAAATTAAATTATGAAGATGCTGGACCTAGGCTAAAAATAAATTAGCCTCCGAAATTGCTTCACAAAATAAACATGCAACATCGTTGCTAGTTCATGCTCCTACGGTTTCAGCCAAAATATCCAACGACGGAAATATGGCCTTTGTTTTGAAAAAAAGCAGTCAGTAATGGAAATATAGTCGAAGTAAGGAACAAACTTTTTGCTATATGCAGTTACATGAAATAGTGTCCCAAATCATATGAAAATATCACTTCAATAGCTTCATAAACAAGAAAGTTGGGCAAATCGGCCAGATCGGCTATATGGCAGCTATATGAAATAATGCCCCAACATATGAAAATTGGTAGGTCATCTTGGGAGCATAAAAAATTTATACAAACCAAATTTCAATTCAATAGCTTTAAAATTAAAGTTTATGCCAAAATAAACGTAAAATAAACCATAGTGCATTAGTCCACTTATTTCTCATGTCCTCTTTATAAAAGAGGACATGAGACCTAATATCGCTAAATAATAATTTTTGAATTTTAAATATTTTAACAATTTTCAATCGACTTGGCGGAACTGGAGCACTTTTTACACAAGATTTACGGACTGGCCAATCTGAACACATTTCAAATGATGATACATTTCAAAATATGTAATATATTTAAAACTTTAATATTAATTTTTGAAATCATACATTGTTTTTCGGTTGATGTAGTAAAATACATATCGACGCCTCCGAACCATAGTATGCTAAGTCGACTTAGCATGTTTTAAAGTTCTTTACGTTTTTAGATACTACGGTCCTTAATTTAAATTCTCTGAAATTTTGGTAATCATCGGCCAATCCAAACCAAAGTTATAAGCTAAAATGTACTTAGTATTGCACGTAACTCCAAGTCTATTTAATATATATTCTTTAACATCAGAAACATTTTTAGATTTTAGCCAAACTTCAAAGAGCTCTCTGTACAAAATTGACATTTTTCCACATCACTTGTTTAAGAACTAAAATAAATCGCTATTTACTTGTTTATAGCTTGTATAATCCCGTTCTTTGACACTTATTGAATGAGAAAAATCTATGAATGAACATTCGTTAAATGCGGATTTTTCATTCATAGGTAGAAAAATCTATAAATAATATGTATTTTTGCATTCATAGGTAACTGATACCTGTATCCGACCCTAACGAAATTCGTATGACAAAGTCATAAAGTCATGTCAGTCATTGGAAACCCCATAACAGGTATAATAAAAGTCCATAAACTCCACCTCCACGAAAATCATAAATATAGGTAAAACAGTGTATATATGAATGTTACACCAATGATATTGTTCCAGGGTTCATAAAGTGGACCCTTTAGAAAGACATTTGGAATAAATGTGCATGAGTTTAAAATCAACGTTTGGAGCAGTACTCTTGAACCTCAGGTTGGACATTTTGAACTTGTTTTTTTCTTATCTGCTATGCTGTGATCTATTCCAAGTCATATTTTTTTAATTTATTTGAACAAAACCTTAAAAAAGCTTCCTACACAAAATTGGCATTTTTTCAAAAAATTGCCATAAATCCGAGAGTCGCAGGAAGCCGCAGGAAAAAATTTAGTATGATGTTCTAGACAGACACACAAGAAAAATAGAACAAAAATCAAAGCTGAACTCGACTGCACTCCATACTAAACCCCTATTTTAATTGAAGGAATTAAAAAAACGGACCTTACATATATTTAGCCCGAAACACCTAAATTAAAATAACTTATGGGTTATATAACTATACCATTTATTAAATACCAATACTATATATCAAAAATGGACAAAATTTTATAATAATATATTCACAGAATGAACAATTTAATAGCTAAAAAATGCCATTTTTAACATTGGAAAAATTTTCTAGCTTATTAATTCGGGGGTTGGCAACATTAAAGTTGCACGTTGAATAAGAAACATAGAAGTAAAGAAACAATCAAAATATTAGCTTTGGAGCCATTGGGCTTAATTTCGGAAGTAAAATGTTTAAACTTCGGATTTAGGAAAATGGGATACTGAATTAAAATGTTGACCTTTTTGGTTTAGAGTTATCGACGAAATTTCACTCTCGCAATGTTGCCGATGAATTTATTGACGCTTAAAAGCATTGGTATTCGATGTCTATATTGACGAATTTGAAAAGAAAATCTGACATTCCATTAATTTTTCGCGTT